ATTTTTAATACATTTATTAAAATGCTGTCTGGCATACAGTGGACTACCTAATCTATTTTTAATACATTTACTAAAACGCTGTCTGGAATATGGTGGTCTATCTAATATATTTTTAATAAATTTATTAAAATGCTGTCTGGCATACAGTGGACTACCTAATCTAATTGTAATACATTTATTCAAATGCTGTCTGGCATATAATGGACTATCTAATCTAATTGTAATACATTTATTCAAATGCTGTCTGGCATATGGTGGTATATCTAATATATTTTTAATAAATTTATTAAAATGCTGTCTGGCATACAGTGGACTACCTAATCTAATTGCAATACATTTATTCAAATGCTGTCTGGCATATAATGGACTACCTAATCTAATTGTAATACATTTATTCAAATGCTGTCTGGCATATAATGGACTACCTAATCTAATTTTAATACATTTATTCAAATGCTTTCTGGCATATGGTGGTCTATCTAATATATTTTTGATAAATTTATTAAAATGCTGTCTGGCATACAGTGGACTAATGAGAGAATTTCTGTGAAATGGATAAGAAATGAATATTAATTTAAGGTTTTAAAATTTGCTCAAGGACACGTTCTTGTATTGTATTACAAGCATTACAAAGTGCACGGATCAATTGTGAACCATAGCAGTGTCTTTTCGTGTACAATGAAACTTTAATTACAACTTTTAATTACTGCCGAAACATGTAGAGTTAGTTGTAATTACAAGTTATAAATAAAGTTTTATTGTGCATGAATAAACACTGCTATTACGTTATATTTTTGTACATCCCACCACTATACGAACCTTAATGTTATTCTTTCGATTTGCCCGGGGTTACTGATAAAGGACGGAATTCCCCGAAATTGGTATAACTCAGTTACGAGTGGTAAATCGAATAATCACATTTATTTTCCTGTATTATTTTTATGGGTTTCATTAAAGTTATGCACAAATCTGATGTTATTTAAATTTCGATTTCCACAAACGAATCAATAATTATTTCACAATTGTACCTTCTGTAGGTATTCTAAACACGAAAGATATATTTATAGTACAAATCTGGAGACACTTTATGAACGAGACTTAAATCGTTATCAGTTAATATGAATTGCCGCATTGAAACCAATTTCAATAATATTTAAGGAATAATTCAGTTTGAATAATCCTAATAATAAAACAATAACTTCGACGTATTTAATTAAAAATTCCAAGTTTTAATCGAACGGGTAATTGTATACTAACCTTACAAGGAAAAGTTTCTATATTTAGGCCCGGCATGGCCAGGTGGTTAGAGCGCTCGACTCGTAATTTGCGGGTTCGAATCTCCGTCACACCAAACATGCTCACCCTTTCAGCCGTGGGGGCGTTATAATGTCAATCCCACTATTAGTTGGTAAAAGAGTAGCCCAAGAGTTGGCGGTGGGCGGTGATCACTAGCTGCTTTTCCTCTAAACTTACACTGCTAAATTAGGGACGACTAGCGCAGATAGCCCTCGTGTAGTTTTGCGCGAAATTCAAAAACAAACATCTTCTCTATTTTAGAAAATATCTGCTGTTTCTCTTTATTATAGACGTCCACAATCAGATTAAAGTGATATATACGATCTGTAATGAGAGTTGAGTGAAACTTAAGTTTTCGATTACGTGATATAGATAGTTGCAATAAAACAATTTTAAAAAATTGAGCACGCATATAAAAATACTCTT